CTCCTCTCTTGTGCCCAAACCAAGCATCCTCTTCTTGCTGCTCGGGTGTGTTCTCCCAGCAGCAGCTTTTCCTGAGCTGTCCTTTCTCTGAGCTCTGAGCAGCCACTGAGGCAGGGACTTGCTGCTCACAGTTCAGCCGCATGCCGGTGTCCCAGCAAAGGCCAAAGGCACTGCGGTGGGCATGGGGGAAGTAGAGCCCTTGACTTTTCTCCTCTGTAGGAAAGCCATCTAGCTGAGTCCTTCTGAGAACTTTATATGAAGCCAGAAGTCAAATGGGCAAACACCCAGACAGTCTTGGAGAGAAAGGTGGGAGGAGACTTGAGCATAAGGAAAAGGCTCTAGACATCCGCAGGGAGCCACAGTGCTGGTTAGCAGGTCTCGGGGTGTGTGAAACACGACTTAGGGTTTAAGGCACCATCTTGTTTAGTCCCTGTCTGTGCAGCCTGGAGGAGTTCTTTCTGTGTTCAACCCCAGAGCTCTGGGTTTTCTGTATTTAGTTGATCTGATACCGTCCTCTGCTTATCTGCTGCCGGCCATTGGGGCGACACTGGGTAACAATATGGAATGTTTCTGAAAGGCTTGGGGCTCAAGGACGACTGTCCCATGGGAAACGCCACTGCACAGTGACTGCCCTGGCAGTGACAGGCCTGAGAGCGGGTGGGGCTCCCAGAGTGACAGTCCTCTCTTTCCTCCCTGTCCTGTGTGCACCTGCCCCACAGTTCCAACAAGAAATCCAGCATCGCCAGAATGAGGCTTCGCGGGAGTCTCGGAAGAAGGAGAAACTGGAGAAGGAGCTCAAGCAGATCCAGACGGACATGGACACCAGGCAGACAGAGATCAAGGCGCTGCAGCAGTATGTGCAGAAGAGCAAGGAGGAGCTGCAGCGGCTGGAGCAGCAGCTCAAGGAGCAGAAGGCGAGCCGGGCCGCAGCTGGCTGTGAGGGGCGGGATGATGTCTGGGTGCCCTACCACCTCTGGGAGTTTGAGTTTTCCTAGAAAGCAGCCTGGGCCCTTCACTATGGATGCTGGGGGCAGCCGCCCAGCAGGCACCTGGGTCTCTGAATGGTTCTTCCGAGGTAGTTATACATCCTCCTCTGCACTCCTGGCAACTCTGATAGGTCTGTTATCATCATCATCATCATTATCATCATTATTATTACTAGTATTTTTGTACTGGGAACTAAAGCACACTGAGCTACATCCCCGCAGTTTATGGAGGTTTCAGTACTTAATCAGCTGGCCCCAAGACAGGGTGGCAGGGCAGAGGGCAACACCTCAAGGCAGCAGAAGACAGCAAAAGCTGCAAGAGCAAAAACCAGGGGAGAAGAGCAAGTCTGTTTCCCTCCCTATACTGTAAGCAGGCTACACACCCCCCAGGGCAGGGGCAGGTATAGCACTCACCCCATCTCCATGCCCACCTCTTGCCCAGGTTGAGGATGTTTACGAAGTGAGGACCCTGGCCCCCTGCTGAATCACTTAGTTAAACTTCTAAACTTCTCAAGTTGACACAATGTGTCAGCCATGACAACAATAAACACCTAAAAGTGTGTACGTCACAAGCATGCAGTGTGAACACTCGCCACTTGGCACATCTTGGTCACCTGTACCCAGCTGTAGAAGCAGAACATTCCAGCATCCCAGACACCCCATGTGTCCCCTTTCCATCCTTTCTTCCCAAAAGGCCACCTCTGTTCTGAATCTTAAGCAGACATTAGTTTTGCACAGAAATGAAACCTACAGCAGATGGATTGCTTTGTGTCTAACTTCTTTTGTATTCTGTTGACGCCATGGCCTGCAGTTATAGGTCGGCAATAGCCAATAGGGTAGCCATGAAGCCGTGTGTGGCTCTTTACAGTTACTTATGGTAAGTGAAATCAGAGTCCACTGTGACGTCCTCAGCTGCCCTGGTATCACTTCAAGTGCCCAACAGCTCCATGTGGGGAGCATTTAAGTAGTGAGGCCGTAGAGAGCAGTCGCACCGCCGAAAGTTCTGTGGAGCAGAATTCTGGAGACCATTTACTCTCCCTGCTGCTCAGTGTCGCCCTCTGTGTGCACATCATGTACTCCTGACAGGTTTATTTGTAAGTTTCAAGCTTAGAAAACCACACTCCATCGCTATGCATCTTCAATACGATGCTTCTAACACTCCCCTCATAGAACTGCTTTGCACAAATTTTAGTAATTCTTGCCTGACTCTTTTTCTCTCTTTCTGTCTTTCTTTCTGTTTCTGTCTTTCTTCCTTTCTCTCTTCCTCTTTCTTTGTTTCTTTCTTTGTTTCTTTGTTTCTTTGTTTCTTTCTTTCTTTCTTTCTTTCTTTCCTTCCTTCCTTCCTTCCTTCCTTCCTTCCTTCCTTCCTTCCTTTCTTTCTTAAGTTGCTGGGGCCCTAACCCAGGGCCTTGGACCTGCAAGGCAAGTGCTCTATCACTGAGCTATACCTGGGCCCTCATTTCTTATTTCTTAAGGAAGCAATTAACACAACTGAATTTTTTCTGAAAAGTATTTTCAGAAGTCGTTTCTAAAGACATCATTTGCCAAGATGTACAGTGCTTTCTTACATTAAAAATAGATATTAGAATAGAGCTCTTTGTCATTTGCTTTATTAATTTTATATAAATCCAGAATTCAAGTAGATAATGCATAATATGCAGTCTCCAGGAGAAAAACACTAGACTTCTTTGAACATGAAATTTAAACGTAGGCCTTTGAACCTCAGGCTAAAACCCCACAGTGCTTTGTATAGCAGTATCCAGAACCCATGTAAAACAAAATTTCATCTTGAGCAGGCTGCTTATATTTTGTTTAGTCCCTATCGTTTGCGGGTTGGATGTATTCTTTCCAAGTCTAATTTTTTTTTTTTGGTTTTGTGTTTTTGCATATTTGGGAATTACATTTGAAGAAAGTGCCTATTCTTTAGGAACCAATCTCTTAGCTCATTTGCTATCCTGCCACTTCCCCAAAGGAAAGGATCTCCTAGGATAATAGATATAATCCACTGTTTTTATAACACCGTGTCTGCTCAGAATAGTCGTGATAGCAGAGAGGAAAATCCAGCTGACAGTGAAACCAGGCAGATACAAGTCACTGCACTGCTGTTCCAAAGTTTCGACTGAAGTTGGCTTAGGAGACCTGGCTCTGTGCTTGTGCTGCTGAACTGTTCTGTTCACAAAAGTGGGTTAGTGCTGGATTTGCTTCTGAAGATGTAGCTTCCAACCCCAGTGCTGATAAAACCACTTACATCTCTATCTCATTTGCAATGATTATAGCGATTGTTGCTTGTGCAGAGCCTGCCAAATGGCAAACAGGCATTAAAATATTTATCCACCACCTGTGCGCGAGACTTCCCAAGGCTTTGAAAAGAATTATGCTCACTGTGTTATTCATCAGGAGGCGTCATTTTCCGCAGCCATTTAACATTCATCATATTTGAGTGCGTGAGAGCCTTCGTGGGGGATAAAGAACAATTTCTACAAAGACAGAGAAGTGCGGTTGCTGGTATCTCCCCAGGAGCCTTGTGGAGCCTCCCGCGTGTGTATACAGACACTGTAATCAGATTAAAAAGCATTAACCGGCTCCTTCTCTCCACACCTTTCAGATACTGAATGAGAGAGCTGCAAAGGAACTCGAGCAATTCCAGATGAGAAATTCTAAACTTCAGCAAGAGAATGAGCAGCACAGTTTGGTTTGTGAGCAGCTGTCCCAGGAAAACCAGCAGAAGGCCCTGGAGCTCAAAGTAAACACCGAGTGACCTGTGTGTTCCCTGGCCTTCCCTCCTGATACCTGTGGATGTTGTTTGCATGAACTGTTGTAGCTCCGCCGAGGGCCTCCATAAGGAGGCAGGTGCCAGACTTGCATGATTGCTTTATGCCAGGAAGCAATCTGAAAACTTCATTTCTTATAAAATTGCAAACCTGATTATTGGTCATATGACTATGCAAATGCTTTCCAAAGCAAGCTCAGATATTCAGTTGTGTAATTAGCCTTGCAAGTAACCAGTTGCCCAGAGCTATGGGCTTGAGGAGCAAAGAATTGAGATTGTGTCTTACTCTCTGGAGAAGGCAGGGTGGGACTACTGAGTATTTAGGTTTAGATTGTGGAATCATACTTCTGTCTAATGTATATTTCAAGACAGATTTCCTGTTCTTCTCCCTCCCACCACCGAGGAGTGCTTCCAAGTTAAGCTAGGATAAGCTTTTGTACTCAGATAGATATTACACTTGTGTGCTTTTGTAGTTAACAGAGCAGCTTTATGTTTATTACTTTAATTCTGAAAAATTCATGTTTCCTATTTTTGTTATGTTAGAATATTGGACATAAAAGGAGTGGCCTATCACAAAAACATATAGATTTGAGCAGTAAACCATAGCATATTTGTATTATAGTCTCCCTTGAGACTCTGTTGTAAGCACACACACATGCACATGCGCATACACATACACTTTTATTTGCATATTTTGCATCTTTTTTTTAAAGGCAGGGTCTCATTATGCAGTTCAGGCTGGCCTTGAACTCATTTTGTACCCCAGGCCAGCCTTGAACTCGTAGCGATCCTCCTGCCTCAGTCTCTCAAGTGTTGAGATTATAGGTGTGCACCACCATACCCAGCATACACCTTGCATCTTGTTTTGCACAGATTTCTAGGATTTTTCTGACATCTAACCAAGGGGTCTGGATAATTAACCATTGAGTTAGATCAACCTAGAATGGAAAGGGGCCTTACAGTCAACTATCTTAAACTTTCTAGGATCTGAGGGTCTGAAGCTGAGGGATATTTAAAGCAGCCAGAGCGGGTTGACTTGGAACCAAATAAAACTTTGATAATTTAAAACAAATGAAATGATTACTTAAGTCAGAGTAATATATTGGCCTCTGAGGTGAAAGTGAAGGAAAAATACTTATGTTGTTAGTTTGCTCCTTTGGTAACATGAATGGGACATCTTTCAAGATGGACTATTTCAATCCTCAGATCCTATACCTAATGGGACTGGGTGTCCAGCACCAACCCAAGGATAACTTACACAGCTAGTTTCAGTCTCCTCATTCTCAGGAGCTGAGATAATTCCTAACCGTTATTTGCAGATGAATCCTCAATTGCTTTTCCAACCGTGCCTAGTGGCAAACTTTTTAGAAAGTGAATTTAATTGTAAAAATCTATAAAACTTGAAGTCAATAGACAAATATCTGGAGATTTTCTTTGCTAGGATTATTTTTGGCCTCTTTTACCATTCTGCACCTTTGCTTAGCCTACCTGGGGGTGTGCACCTGTAGACTAAACCGCTTCAAGTAAGGTGGTATAGGTAACTGGGCCACTGTGGACTTAAGGTTCGAAAAGATTGCTGAAATATTTTGTCACACGTTAATAACCTTCTCAGAGTGATCACTTTTTTTGTTTGTTTATGTTGGAACTGGGAATCGAACTCAGCACCTCACGCTTGCCAGGCAGGCACCAAGCTGCTGAGCTCTATCCCCAGCCCAGAGACTGATTTTTGTAAATCCATGAAAACTGCCAACTGAATACAGCATTTGTATGCAAAAGCCACAGCTTTGTAGTATATGCAGCTCCATGTCCTTATTTGATCCTACAATTAGAAAGTAACTTGAAACATCAGATTTTTTTCAGCCTTTTCATCGCTTTTAGTTTATGTGGCCGCATATTTTATTCTGAGAATAGAGCTTTTTCAGTTTCTCTCAAAACTGAACAGTGTGTGTTTGGGTTGAATCCCACAAGGCTGCACTGCAGCAACACCGGGAGACGTGCTTTTTATCGGCCCCGAGTTTTCATCGTCCAGTCTCCGGCCCTTTGTTTACTTAGCTTCTCAGTTCATTCTCTTACGAACCACAGGCCAAAGAGGAGGAGGTCCATCAGATGCGTCTTGACATTGGGAAGCTCAACAAAATTAGAGAACAAATCCACAAGAAATTGCATCAGATCGAAGATCAAAAGGCAGAGGTGGAGCAGCACAAGGAAACCCTAAAGAATCAGATCTTGGGATTAGAGAGAGGTAAACCGTTTTGTCCCTTGTTTTCTTCTAACTTATAAACATCTCATCAGTGACTAATATCACCCGGCCCCCCAAGATTCTGTGTGTGCAAACACACCACGCCAAACGAAGTCAGTATGACAGCATTCACGCTGGTAACCAGCCAGTATGGAGGGGTCATCACTTAAACACCTTAAATGCCGTACCTTAAGTTCTTCCAGAGGTTCTGTTGGCACAGTGTACATCCAGCCCGAAGTATTGCCCAGCACTTGTCAGTGGCGTAAATAACACACAAACTCTTGGGGCTGTCCATAGAAGGTAAGGGAATGTGTTAAAATGAATGTTCTTCATCAGCATGGTCTGGGACAATATTACAGACAGCACCTGGTATAGAAATTGCTTCCTAAATGTCAGGTATTATCTGGATGCACTACTGTTTTCTGAATAAGAATATAACTAAAAATATGGTATACTGGCCACATTTGGTGTGGCAGAAAGAGTTCTGGACTGGGGGGTGGAGACTCTGACGATGGTTCTGACTGCAGGAGGCAAGAAGTCTTGTGTCCCTTGACCTCCTTCTGCAGCTGGTGCGAGTTATACATCAGTGAGTGAGATGAGCACATGCAAAGGCGTCGAAGCATGCCCCACTGTAAATGGGTAAAATCTAAATCTAAGATGATTAGAACTATTTACCACTGAGTCTTCTTTAAGAAGTGCGTATGTTTTTCTTTCTAAGACATTAGGAAATAATCTATTGAAGCGCAGGTGCGCGCAATCTTGACAGTTCCTCTGCTCGTCCACTCAGTGTGTTGAATGCAGACTGCGGGCGTTGACATGGGCAGGACCTGGCCTTCAGGATCCTCACAGTCTAGTGTGAGCTCACAACTGTGCTGGTGAGGTTTCTTTACAAGGATGAAGATGCGCTGCCAGTCCAGGGCGGAAGCCCCTGAGAGTCACTGGTGTGAATGCATGCCGAAAGGCTCAAGAAGCTGGAGTCTGATGTCCAAGGGGGAGGGCAGCAATAAGAGATGTACCCATGCAAGCAGGTCACAGCTTTCTAGTGCAGGCCAACTTCTGCCTTCTCTTTCATCTCTGTTTTTTTGAGACTGGGACTTACTATGTAGATTAGGCTGAATTTGAACTTACTGCGATACTCCTGCCTCAGCTTCCCCAGTGCTGAGATTGCAGAGTGTGCCATCACCCTGCCATTCTTCCTATTTTGTTCCCTCTGGGCTGCAAGCTTATTGGCTGGTACCAACCACAGTCAGGCAGGTCATCTTCTCCCAGTTTGCTGGCCTACATGTCAGTCATCTCTGGACACACCCCACAGGTACCCAAAGCAGGCTCTGCTGATCTCTTAGATGTCTTAATCTGATGAAGTTGACCATGGAGATCACCTGTCACACAACACTGTCTTCATTGACCGACAGGAAGAAAATGGATCCAGCAGAACCTGTAACTGGCTGAGAGACCCTCAGAACACTCCCGTATTCAGATTTCTACAGATTTGCTTGCAATTTTGCTAAGCTTTGAGAACAACAACAAAAAAATTCCTTAAAAATGCATTCAGCATTGAACTCAATTCTTTCACCTTTAAGTGGTGTTTACAGAAGTCATCATGCTATAGATATTTCTGTTGTCATCTCTTCTCAAGGGCCTTTTTACCTTTTATGTAGACACATTTGTGGTACACAGTGGTTCCGTTCAGCTTGGGGTTGATACATACACATAGGGCCTCTTGGTGATTTTTACCCCTTCTGCTGCCCCTGCCCTTCTCCTTCCCTCCTTCCTCTATTTTGATTGAATTTTAGTACAGGATGAGAGATATGGATTAAAATTCATTCTTCTGCAAGTGGATATCCAGTTTTCCCAGGACCACTGGATAAAGAACTATCTTCTCACCAGCATATGTTGTTGGTCACTTTGTAAAAAATTAGATGGCTGATGGTGCTTGGGGTTGTTTCTGCATCCTTTATTCCATTCCATTGCTCAATATGTCTGTTTTTGTGCCAGCACCAGGGTGTTTTTACTACTGTAGCTTTGTAATATAATTTGAAATCTGGGATTGTAATGCCTCCTGTCTTGCTCTTGTTGCTTAGGATTTTATTATTTATTTATTTGGTCTTATTATATTGTCCAGGCTCTCTCTCGAATGCCTGGATTGAAGCGTGACCCTCCCCCTTCTCAACCTCATGAGTGGCTGAGACAACAGGCATGTGCCATAAAGCCGGGTGCACCCGATCAAAGAGTGGCTCTGGTTAGGAGCATGGCTCCTCCCTATGTTATGATTTTTTAGCACAAGAAATGAACCGGAAGACTACCAGAACTAATACAAGTTTTCAGTAGGGTGGAAGATTATCATGCTAACCAAAAAATCAGTTAGAATAGATGATGGAAAAACCTTTATTTACAATAGCAACTAGAGCAGCAGCACTGGAGTGAGCTGTGCATAGTGGTGCCCGGCTGGCTGTGATCCCAGCACTGGGGAGGAGGAGGCACCATTGGCGGTTTTGGTGTGGATTTAAATTGTTACTAATTTTCTAGAGAGACATTTGGCAGTAAGAGGAAACTATCTTTTTTAAAAAAAACCAGGACTTTCTTTTTTGGAGGAACAAATGGACAAGAATGTAACAAAATTATTCCTCTAATAACCAAAATTATTCCTTATACACACAACAATTGGAAGCCATTTACTTTTTATTTTATTGGAGTAATTTAAATGTTAAAATGAGGGATTGGCTAATAAATTATATATTTCCATATAGCAAAACACTGAAGTTATTAAAAATTCTGGTGTAGATGCACACTTATAATATAGAAAGGCACTTATTCTATGATTGTTAATTATAAAAACAAGCAACAAAATAGTATGTATAGCAGTTACTTCTGCTTTGGGGTGTGTGTATCCGTGTGTATATTTGTTTATGCTTACACGCACACATATTTGCACAGAAAAAAGACAGGAGAAATATACCAAAATCCTAAGTGGATTCTGGTTAATTTATTTTTTCTCCTTTTCTTTATGTTTTTCTACCTTTATACTGTATTTCTGTTTACTTGTGCAATTAAAAAAAAAAGATTTAAAAAGATCAAAGGTCTTTGGAGTCAAAGATACCAAACTCCTAATCTTAAGCCTGTCGGTCTCCTGGTCACAGTCTCTCCTCGAGTGGACTGAACTGTCTAAGCCTCAGTTTCTATTTAGTGGGACCTTATAATCCACTTCACTGAGGTATAATGAGGATCATAACTCACTCAGTTAGTAGTGGTTTCATAGCTACACATAAACGTGTAAAACTCTTTTTTATATTACTTTGGCTTTGGCAGATTCTCTCTTGAATTGTCTCTACATTTGTAATTTTTTCCCCTGGCAATTTAGAGGTGGAGACTTCGAAGAAACAAGCAGAACTTGATAAGAAAGCAATGGATGAGCTTCTGAGAGAGAGGGACATACTAAATAAGGTGAGTTTCTTACAGTAACACTGTTAAATAAATGTCTTCTTCTGTGGTGCTATAATATCTGCCTATAATCAGTTGTATGTGAAAAGAAAACTCCGAGGCGTTCAAAAGCAGATTAGAATAAATAACAGCGCTCAGTTTTCTTGTAAGCAGCTGCTTACAGTCTACCATTCACTGGCCTTGAATTGAAGCTACATTATCACCCGGGAGCACAACAGGGCTTTGGAGAATTAGCATATAAACCAGCAGGGGATTTCTGAGTATTTGTGGATTCTGTTTTCACTGCTTGTGTGTTAGTCGGCATCCTAAGCAGTTGATCAAAATTTCTGACTTTAATATCTATTATCTACAGCTTTGGCTAATCCAAAAGTTATAAATGTGAGTACTAATTAAATTTTTACTTTGAAGTGTTAGGTATGGAAATGGCATGCCGGGATTTCCTCCTCCCGTCTTTTCAGCTTGTTATAGGCTGGGTTTTTGTTGTGAGGCCCAGCTCTTCTGGTGTCTGAGTGCTTAGAGGTCTGAGAGGAGGGGGAGCTGGGGCAGTTGAAGACCTTGAGATGCTCCATCCCAGGCAGGACCCTCTCTTCTTGCTTCCCGCCTTCCGAAGGATTCTCTGTACTGATGTCACTTAGACTGACTACTGTCAAGGATTTCAGGCCAACTTCCTTGCTCAGAGATTTCCTCCGGTGAGGAAGGAGCTGCAGGCTGGGTGTGGAAGGCGGAATGGGCTACACTTTCGCTTGACTTGACTGTTCACCGAGACTCTGGAAATGGTAGGAGGTCTTCTGCCCATGCTAGCGTTCCTTTGAAAACAGCTGTAGTCTTCCCCTTCCCCGAATCTTGGAAACTTTTCCTTTATTATATACATTTGCATATTTTAACAATACTATTTGATTTAGACTTTTATATTTATTTTCAATATATTTAATATTTAATTCATTTACATTCACTATATACTGGTGAACAACTAATAGTTTTTTTTTTTTTTCTTTTGCCACAAGAGGACAGGTGGTACAACAGTACTTTACATTTATTTGGTTTGATTAACGTCAATTCCCCCTTTAGGGCAGGATAGACTTTTTAATTTTTAAAAGTTTTCCTGGTCATTGCATTCTTATTTACTAGCATAACACTGGACTCTGCAGTTTTGCAATCAACCTTTATTGATAATAAATTCTTTCCCTACTGATTTGAAATGCTATCTTCACTGAAAGCATGAATAACATATTTTGATAGGCAGCAATACTAACACATTGTGATGCTTTTAGTGTCGTTTGAAGTGACCTTGTCTTTTCTAGAACAAATGCTTATCTAACTGCTGAAAATAAAGCCCTTTTATACATCCTCATCCAAACAGTGTTCCCCGGGCATCTCACCTGCTGATGGCCCAGTCGTTTTCAGAGCAAGCCACGTGTGTGAGTTTGTCAGAGGTTTGAGGAGGAACCACAAGGCACCTCACTGTACCCATGGATACAACTGGGTCCTAGGAAGTGACAGGAGCGTGACCTGGCATCACTGGGGTGAAAGCCCTTTCTCTCCATCACCAGGCTTGCTGTTAGGTTTTGGTCTGTTCCTCCTTCAGTGAAGATTGCTTTTTTTGTCCAGCTGGCAGAAATTTAGTTATCACCAATTGCTCCCAAGTTCACATCTACCAAGTTGTAAAAATCTGAGGGTGAAGGTGTAGTGGCAGAGGGGTAGTGGCAGAAGGCCTACTTAGTATGCACAAGGCCCTGGGTTTGACCCCAGAAATCAGGTGTGTGCGTGTGTACACACACACACACACAGTGGAAGGCCCTATTTCAGAAGTCCCAGGGAGGGCCACATGGTTGTTCACTCGCGGCCAGTGGGTGGGGTCATCCTGTTGAGGGAGGCTAGCAGGCTGGACTGTTTGTTGTTCCTGCCATGTTTCGGATGGCCTTGGGGGACCACCCTGGGGTTCCATGTTGGCACCAGACATCAGCAGTGCAGGTGATGGGTCCCATTCCAGACCCACTGAGTCAGATAGGCCGGATTTGGGATGTGACATCCACTTAAGAAACAAAACAAAACTAGGTTAAAATTTTTAAATGTGGCTATCTCTGTCTATAGATATATCCACATATAGATCACACACTTATCTCTGGCAGCACGGAGCACATTCCCAGTGTGTTGCCATTCTCACCATTATCTGGTTCTCATCACCCCAAAAGGACACTCTCTCCTTCAGTGGTCGCTGCTCATCTCTCTCCCCTCCTACCCAGGGCAACTACTAAATCGCTTCCTGCTTCTGTGGATTTGACAACTCTGGGTATTTATATAAATAGGGTCACATGCTGTGTGACCGTTTGTGCCTGGGTTCTCTCATGAGGAGGATGTTTCCAGGTTACACCGGTGTTGGGGCACTCGTCAGTATCTCATTGTCTTTTCTGTCATTTTCATGCCACTGGGTGGACACACCCACCTTTGTTGACGTGTTCCTCAGCTGGTGGACATTTTAGGCGTTTGTGTGCAGTGCTCTCATGAGCATTCGCCTACAAGGTGTGGCTTTCATTTCTTTCAGGTCTATGCCTAGCAGTGAAATTCCTGGGTCATATGTTGATTCTAGGTATCTGCTTTTTACTAAACTGATTTTGTCTTTGTAGTCAAAGCCCAAGCTCTGTGAAGAGTTTCAGTTGTTCTAACCTCCCAGGGTAGAGGCTAGAGCTGAGGTGAAGGTGAGGAAGAATAGAGGTGGGGTGAGCCAGGTGTGGATTTCAGTCCTGGCTCTGCCACTGCCCTGTTGTAGGAACTTGTAAGACAGCAGCTTAACCCGTCAGTCTCCGTGTCCTACTCCTAGGACAGGAGCAGTGTAGAGCCTACTGACCTTGAGCTCGCTTTGTAGCCCAGGCTAGCCTCGAACTCACAACAATCCTCCTGCCTCAGCCTCCCAAGTGCTGGGATTATAGGCGTGTGCCACCATGCCCAGCCTAAAAATGCATTTAAAATGAAAAAAAAAAAAAAGTGTGCATTTCTGTAATCCCAGTACTGAGGCCACAGTGGAAAGAAAGTGGAATTCAAGGCCAGCCTGGGATAGATAGCAAATTAAAGGCCTCCCTGGACACAGAGCAAGACCTTGTGTCAAAAATAAATGATAAATAAATGAATACAATTTAAAAATAAATAAAATGACTTGTGCAAAATTGACACAATAGACTTAATAATCTGCAGAGAATATAATTTCTATTCATACAAAAGAGAAGGCATGTGATTAATTTATGGTTAAGGTAGGGTGTAAACTTTGAGTAACCCACATTCTCAAACACTGAGATAATGTGATGGCTTCATTGTTCTTGTTTGCAGAATATGCTCAAGGCCATTAACGCGACCCAGAAGCAGGTAGACCTGGTAAAGCTCCATGAACAAACCAAGCGGAATCTGGAGGAAGAAATCCAGAACTACAAGGAGGAGGCCCAGAAGCAGAGGAAGATCATCTTTCAGCTGGAGAAGGAGCGCGACCGGTACATCAACGAAGCCAGTGACTTCACCCAGAAGGTGAGCCTCTCCCTGCAGCTGCCGCAGTACGTTCTTTCCTCTGCACTGCCGCTCACCGTGACCGCTGCAAGGACCGTGGGTTCAGATTGGTTTGCACGCGTTGGTTGCATGTGGACCAAGTACAAGCTGTCCCAGGGCGGATCCTGGGCCACGTTGTGAGATGGACAGGGCTTGTGCTTAGTGCTCTCATTTCTGCTTGCCGTCCACTCTTCTGACGGTGTGTTCCTCTCTTCTCTCCTGCCCCCTGTGCAGCAGTACTAGGGCGGCAGGTGACACCTTCTCTCAACCAAGCTCTTGTGTCCTGGAACTAAGGGTGATGACTAGTGTTAGAAGAGAGACACCTAATTAAATGACCTCAGATTCCATTTTGTCTTGTGTCATTCTTGACCCCTGAAGCTCCATGTATTCGACTGGATCACGGCGTGCTGTCCGCATCAGTGAATTCATGCGGCAGGTGCTGTAGCAGGTGGGGCCTGGGTGGAGGTGGTTCCAGGTTGTGACTGAAGGGCTCATTCCTGTCTCAGGTTCCTCCCTCCTCTCTCTGCTTCTTCGCTGCCATGCCTTATGCAGCAGTTTTCCTCCACCATAGTCCCTGTTTATTGATTCTGCCTTGGAGCCAAGCTCTATGGACTGCACCCTTTGAAGTACAACCAAAATAACCCTCTCCTCCTGTTACAATTTGTGTCTGGATGTGCCCCAAATCCTCATTCAGTTTTAGATGGGACTTTTTCGGAGGTGGCTGAATGTAGTGTGTGACTGATTCATAGTGCAACGCTGGGACTGAGGGTGCTGGGATTAAAGGTGGGTGATTGCTGGATCAGTCTACTGATTGGATTGGCACAGCCTTAATCCCAGCAGACTGGATGCAATATGAGGGACAGAAAGAGGCTTGTCTTCTTCCCTTGCTTGCTTTTGTTGTCTTCTGCCACCATGAGCTGTTTGTCCTCTGTGAAGCCCCCCTCCCACATGCCACCCTGCCCTGGAGCTGGTCGATGATGGACTAAAACCTCTACAAACTGTGAGCTAAGTAAACCTTTCCTCTCTTAACTTTGGCCATTAGGTATTTTGTCTCAGTAATGAGAAAAGTTAACTAAGACACCTCCTTTAAATTAGGGGTATCGGGTATTTTGTCCCAGTGACAAGACAGTGACTAATCCAAAAATAAAAATGAATTAATTGTGCTCGCTTCAGCAGCACATATACTAAAATTGGAATGATACAGAGAAGATTAGCATGGCCCCTGCACAAGGATGACACACAAATTTGTGAAGTGTTCCATATTTATCATCGTATGGTCTCCCTAGTGTAAGAACCTGAAAGAGTAAATACTTTGTTTTTAACTCCATATTGTCTGTACTGTTCTTTTGCTATGTTGTAAAATGTTGTCTGTCTGTAAATGTTTTCCTCCTTTTATTTTTAAAACAGAAAAACCCCAAAAAAACCAAAACAAACAAACAAAAAAATAGTAAATAAAACCCCAAAGGTACAGTAGATATTGTGAAAGGGAAAAAAATTGCTCAAAGGGAAGGAATAACTGGGATAAGGGAAAGGAGAAAAAGAAAGAAAAAAGGGAAAATATATGTATATACTGGGATAATTATGCTGCTGATATCTAATGGTTTATTGAAAGGAATAGTTAATGCTTAAATTTTTTTATCAATTTTGCATGCTTATATCTGATAATCTGAACAACTAATTTGAAGACAACAATATGCAGTATAACAATCACTGGTGAATTCCTACCATCTTGTTTAGTGAAGCTCTGTATTATTTCTAATTTTTAAATTTTTTTTTATTCTTTTTAATGATTTGATTAATCTTGCATTCTTACATTTGGTAATCTGAGCAACTTCGTTGCAGATAACAATATGTAATATAACAACCACTGTTAATTCCTATCATTTTATTTTGAAACACCATATTATTTTTATTGTTTTTGTGTTGTTTTATTTTTGTCTATGTTGTTATTTTGTTATATTTTAAAATTCTTCCTAAAATAAAAAAATGAATGAATTGTGAACCTAAAACCACAGTGCTGGTATGTTGGATGACTAAGTTCTGGATCTCTCCTTATAAAACTCTTGAGGAGGAGGCCCACGGACACAGTGAGAAAGGAGGAGCTTACATGATGCATGAAAGCCAAGCTCCCTGAAGCACTCTTGAGTGGTACAGAGCATAGGTCTAGGGATGGGGCTGGCTATGGGGAGGGAGAGAATTTTTAGCTGTGAGGCTGAGAAGAGAGTTTGGGGAAAAGACTCATTTAATTAGTTGTCTTCTGTTCAGGTAAGCCTCCTTACTTCTTGTCAGTGAAATCTACAGCAAATTCTAGAGTTTATCTGAATGCTTTTACATGTTTAAGGTTCGTTTTAGTTTTTGCAGTGAAATTTCATAGCAGATGACAAGAAGACCACCCACATTTGAATTGCATTCATAAAGAAAGTGGGGAATAAACTTTAGTAGCATGAAATCAGTTTCTTCCTACCTAGACTAAGCAGCTGCAGAGCAGGTATTTATAGAAGCAGATGGAGGGACGCTGGTGTCTATGCTCCTCCTAGCCCTGGCAGGACAAGTGTCCCTATGTGATCATCCCGAGTGTGAGCACTAGAGTGACCTGCTTCTGACTTAATCATCTTTGGAGCCCGTGGAATTATTTACTGACTTCAACACTTGTTCACATACTTGTGTTCTGGAGCTGGGACTAGCGCCTTAGCCCCCTCACTGGTCAGCTTGCCCTGCAGCAAGTGACTCTGGAGTTCCCATGGCTGACAGCAGCAGAGATCCGTATCTTTTGTTTGTTCACCTAACGGCCACAAGTGTCAGCTGCAGCCCTGCTGCAGGTTCTCTAGGCTCCAGAATGACTCTTGGGATATCCTGGCCCACTGACCAAGGGAAGTCAGTGACATAGCGGAGCACTGTGACCCTCTTTGAGCTTCAGCTGACAAAGAGGAGGGCCCAGGGCCTGCCCACTCCTATTCCACTGTCTATAGCAAAGCCCATGCCTATGCCTGATAGCTGGAGCAGGAACAGGTGCTCCTGGGGGCAGGCCTTGGGGGCGACAGTGCGTTGGTACTTGAACACGTGACCCCATCTATTGCAGCATTATTATTATTGCAGCATTATCATTACTCTGCCTTATAAAGCTGTGTCACCCCTCAGGTCCTCAGGGAAGTGCTTTCTCACACTCTTCTTAGCATCATAGCATATGAAGAAAATTGCATGCTGTGGCACAGGGGAATAAGGATTAAGGCGGGTCAGAGCTAGGAGGACTAACCCAGGGGTGCCAGTTCAAGGTCAGCTTGGACTATGTACGGTATGGAGATCTTGTCTCAAAAAACAAAATGAAAAAGCACAGGAATTGGAAAGGGCCCGAGTGCTGAGCAGGAGGTGGAGGAGGACAAGGACAGATGACATCAGCCTCGGGCAGCCCGTGGGCTCTCCTAGAAGAGCAGGCCAGTGGGAGGTTCCAGAGGCAGGAAGGCTGCAAGGGTTGCTGAGCACGTGGATATCTAGCATTTGATTTTAAGTTCTCCCCTGAGCTCTGTACCCAAAACCCTCAGTGGTGCGTGCAGCAGCCCTGCAGCTGGGATTGCACTTTGTGTGAGCAGGCGCAGGGAAATGGGGTTGTGAGACAGCACTTCCTAGAGGAAAGAGTGTGTTCAAGAGCCAAGATGCCGACGGAGGGTTCAGGATGCTATGGAAACCGGAAAGTGAAGCCATCATAAGTAGGAGAAATGTAATTCCTTCAAGAATTCCTGGAAATACTAGGAGGAATATTGGGCTTCCTGGCATGCAGAGTGGGGGTTCTAGACTTGTGAAGGACCAGTTGGGTGTAGGATGTGACTTAGGTAATAAATCCAAGATGACATCACCTCTAGGAAAAGGCAAAGATGAAATAAAGAGGAAGAAATGGATAAACTGAGGAGCAATTTTATAGACATTAAAGCCAACAGAACTGAAACAAAAGGAAAGTCATGACAGACTTTAAATCCACACTGAAGTTAGGAAAGGTTGGAGCTGATGTTGAGGCCATGGACTCAGTGAAGTGGATGCAAACAGGAGTTCTCCTAGAACACAGGAGGAAAATTGAAGATCATAATTGTCCAAGAGAGGAAGTAAGGATGACAAAAAAGAGAGACGGATCTACAGAGAGCTGGTTTCCAAAGGCGGGACTGAGTCCCAAATCAAACGTGTAGTGAGAGAATATTTTCTGGAGGTGAGGGACTGTATGTGGCAAATGGCTGTGTTCTGGGCAAGGAGAGTAAGGGAGACTGGGTGTAAAACTCCCCGGACGAAGTTCCTTTGTGTGTGTTTTATCTACAGTGATGAAGAAAAATGCTCCATAAGAATTTTGGCAGGAAAAAAAAAGCAGAAGTCTAGCAACTTCTTATTTTGAAATAGGAGAAAAAAAATGGAAGAAAGTATGATAACACATTAATAATGGTTACATCTGGTTGGTAGGGATACATATTGTTCTATTATCCTTTTGTTATCCTATTGTGGTTTTCTTTGGTGTTTTTGAAATTTTCTAAAATGTATATGTACATTTGATATTAAAAAAGCAACATTAATAACACCTTGGCCTTGGTTCAAGGGCCAATTAAATTCCACTTTTCCCGAAGATCTCTGTTAAAGGCGATCTCTATTCTCTGAACCTGGTTCCTCCTGGAAGCCGAGGAGCTCTGTCTTAACTCTCTGCCGTTTGTGTGTCTGCCTCAACTTACTTACTGACACACCGGGGATAAGTCTTATTCAGTTTTAAGCTCCTCGCTTCCAATTAGGTGCTCAGATATTTTTGAAAGGATAGAAAACATGCACTATTGGACATCTGAATTAACTAGTGAAAGACTCACTTTCTGTGTCTGTATTAAATTCTTCAACAATGTATTTATAATACCTCAGCATTATAGCTCTGCCCTTCCTTCAAACCCATGTAATTCACGGATCTGGATTGTCTTCAGCATTTCTAGCTGCTAGTGACTGCCGGACATGATCTGCTCTTT